ATGCTTTGGAGCCTGTTGACGGCGCGCATTTACAGACCGATGGAGCGTTGTTTTAACAGCAGCGGGAGGAAGCTGCGTTGGTGCGAAAATGGCTGGCAGAAAAAGTGGTTCAGCACCAACGTCCGTGCCACTGCCCTCGAGCCACTGAATCGTCACCTTGCTCTGCTCCTGCGCAGCCACCATGCTCGAGCGAGCGCCCTCCACCGAGTTCACGAAGGCGTCTGGAGTCATCGTGGCCACGCTGAGAGCTTGGTTGCGCCGTTCCTCCATCGACCTGCGACCTGGCAAGATCGTGTTGCTGCCATCGCCTTCTTCTTGCTGCGGTGTCTCGCCAGGATCTGTCACGGAGGACTCCGCGTTCCACTGCACCGGAGCCAGCGCAGCTTGGTTCCTTGACCAGCCAGGAGTACAAGGTGCCAGGCTTACGAAGGAAAGCCTTGACCCAGGGCATCCAGAACAATTTAAACCGCCGAGGGTTTTCCTAGGCACAGGGATGCTCAGCCGCCAGCAAAGGGCCAGCAAAAGAAACCCCTAAATGCAAGCAGGTTGCCAAGGAAGGTCTTTGGGCGCCTACGATTAAACCCTAGGGACAAGAGTGGCTCCGGACGGCCGGCCAGGCTGCGACGGAATCGTTTCGCAGGGCACCTCTATCCTCAAGCTGCGCAGTCGCTGCGTTTCAAGCATGTGGATGATCCACTCAAAAACCGGGGGCGAAGCAATGTCATATTCAGGGCTCCTGGAGATGTCCAGGACAGGGCCGCACACGAAATTTCGGTCACGCATTGCATCGGTCGATCCTCCAAAGATTTCCAAGAAATCATAGTTAGGCCTATGGGCCTGGAAGGTGCTTCTAAGGAAAGATCGTGAAGTTCAGAGGTCTGGGCCCCGTCGAGCTGGGAATGAGGCCACTTGAGGATGCAAAGTTCAGCTGCAGCGTTCCTGGGCAAGTTCTGTCAACCTGAGCGCTCTTGAAGGCTCCGAACACGCGGCAGAAGGCGTGGGGATGAGCCGGGGCCGGGGTCCCAATGGCTGCGGCCAGGAATCAAAAGCCGGCTTGCCGCTTTCTGGTAGAGTTGCGTACAGGAAGCCCGCCACACAGACGAGGGGCGGCCCCTCAGCAACCGAACATCCAGGGTAGGCGGCCCAAAGGAATCCCACACGATTTTAAAAAACACACGAAGCTCTTTCAAGCCGGGCAAGCAGATGCGGCCTCTTCTCCCAGAAGCCAAAGGCAGCTCGGGGGTGTCGGCCACTCGCCGCGATCAGCCCCTCCAAACGAGCCAGAGCATTGACCTGAACAGGATTGGGGGGCCTCCGAAGTGATTCCAAAACAATAGCCTTGCCGTCCGAGCGAAGAAAGTTGAGGGTCACACAAACAATTTGCAGCGTACGGGTCATCGCAAAGGAAGGACTCAGGCGGCGGCGGCGCACCTTCGGGCGCGCCCCAGAGAAGATCCCCGGACAGTGAACAGAAAACGCTGTTCTGAAGAAACGGGCGAAGGCTGCGCGGGTGGCCAAAAGCAACCCTGGAAGGGCTGCGGCCCACTTAGTAAAACTTGAGAAAACGGCTTCACCGAGAAAAGGCATCTCGGGAACAGAGGCAGGGCGTGCGTCAGCAGGAAGGCTTTCCTGGGAAAGAACATCGAGTCCCCGAAATCACGCAGGGGAGCTGGCTTCCGCTCACGTGAGCGGGCTCGCCTGTCTTCGGGTCAGTCTTTGGTGAAGGGGCTGTTGGTGCTTCCCGAGGTCGGAGAACGGCGTGCAGACAGAGCATCCTGCTCCTGCACAAAAGCAAGCGTGGCGATCCATTTCAGGTCCGCAAGGCTGCTGAAGGGCTTCGACCTGTGGCAGGCAGACTCTGACGATCCAGACACTGCAGGGAGGATCCTCTGCAGCGTCTAGCCTCAAGCCTTGCTGCTCAGGTGCCAGACCGCTAGCGAGCCTGCCTCAGCAAGCTTGCCTTTTCAGCCTTACACCTGGTTGTTTAGCCTACTGCCTTGACAGGACTCAGGCCTTGTAGCCTCCTGTGCTACCTTCAGGCTGACTGCTCAGCCCTGTGAAGCCCGCAGAGCCTGGACAAGCCCTCACCTGGGCCTTTGTCCTGCAAACAGCGCAAGCGCGCACAGTCCAAGCTTGGCCCATTCGACCAGCCTGAGCCCGCTGAGTTCAGTTCTTACATCAGTTTCACCAAGCCTAAACTTCAGTTTAGCCCAGAGGTTTCTGGTTCCTACAGTTTCACAGGGGGCGAAAGGATTGTACAGAGAAGCTCGAAGCCCTCCTGCCCCCAGGCCCTCTGAAAGCTACACTCACAGCAGCCCAAGTAAAAAGGAGAGTGCTGTTTGCTTGCTTGTTGTGGTAGGTCTTGGACAGGAGCAGTGCAACCACACAAAACTTAGTTGTCCAGGTCTTACCCTCCCGGGGACCTCACTGGATCGGTCCTAATGTACAGATGTGGTAGACAGTTCAATTTGGTCTTAGCAAAGTGGACCTGCGCGGCAGCATGGACCAGCCGGGCTGATCTCACTAGAATGGAATTAGGAATAGTAGGAGCGGGGGGAGGGGGAGGGATCAGTTCAAGTGAGCAGTCCAGCCCGGAGCAGCCCAGCATGCCGTAGTTCGAAGTGTCTGGAGTCGCCGATTTTAGGCTTGTGCTTCCGGTAGGCTGTAGCGTTCATGGTAGGCGTGAGGGGTGAGGTTCAGAGCTGTGCAGATTTTAGTTGGAATTGGTTCCGGCAGTCGGTGGTTTAGGGTTGACGCTCATGTCTCGGGTTTCTGGGTTTTGGATTCAGAAAGGTCGGTGGACCGCGATCCGCGGACCTGGACTTCATTTTCGTGGACACATCGGATCAAGGCCATGTTGTTTTGGCGCAGCTGCTTTAAGTTGTTCAACTCTGCACCTTGAATCACCTTGAACCCTCTACCTTCAGACCTTTACCGTGCAGAGCACAAGCCAAACCTGAAAAGTCCCTGTGGGGATCGTGTTCGTCCGGTGGAGTTGCTTTGGGCGTAGAATGTTGGATTGGTGAGGCTTGTTCAGTTGGTTTTTGCCGCTGCAGTGGACAACTCAGAAACTGTTGAGGCTGTATTTTCCAGCCTTTTCCACGATCATGAATCATACTGGAAAAAAGCTGCAGAATACAGCCAACGAAAGCATGGACCTGTTCTCGAAAACCTAAGCTTGCGACCTGTGTTCTCGCGCTGAACTTGTTGAACCCTTTTGGCAAGCTAGTGAGGCTAAGGTTATTGGGTTGTGGGTTTCCAGCTCGGGTCTTGGGGCCGTCGAATCGAGGCCCCGCAATTCCCGTGCCACACTTGGAGAACGTGATGCTTGACAGCCATTGCCGCAAGTGTCATTGCCAAAGTGCTGCACCGTAGCGCCCGAAGTTTCTAGTTTGTGGAAAGCCATGTCGCGCGCTGCATGTAGGTCCCGCAGCATACAAAGCATGGAAAGCAGCAAGAGGTTCTAGGTTGAGGGGTTTAGGGTTTTGGTTTGGGCTTCACTATCTGGAGTTGAGTGTTTTGGCCGGTTGCCCTTCTACAGTTTATGACACACGCTGAGGAAGTACATCTACAGGCCCAATATTGCCTTCGACATGTGTTCGTACAAGACCGCACTGGCGCTGGTGGCACCTGGGCAGTACAAATATATCGTGCTCATGAACGGCACGGTGGGCTCTCCAAGGACAAAAGGAGGGAACCCGAAAGGGGAACCCTACTGCTTGAATATTAGACATTTGCATGCAATAAGCGTTGCCAGAGTTAGGCTTGCTCTAAACACGACACCTTAAACTCCACTCAGGCCCTCAGGCTCCCTAATTTGGGCCTATTAGCACCGCATAGGCCTTTTGCGCCTGGAGAGGTGAGGGGTCCATTTGCCACAGCGCGGGACTTTCTGGAAGCCTTCAAGCAAATGCTCAGTGCAAAAACACCCGTGGTTGGCACCACCTTCAACTGCTTGCCCAAGGGTCACATCCAGTCCATGTTCTTCGTGGTGAACTCTGTTGGCGCCGAGCTGCTCAATGCCACCTTGAGCTGTGACATCCCAGACAAAGGGGCCGCCACTTACGGCCCGCATGGGGAGATCAACATTTCGCAGAATGTTCTAAAAGCTGGCTACAACATCGGAGTCGTGCAGCCGTTTTGGCGCGGGCATGACTTCAGAGATGTGAACGCAACTTGGCACAGGTGCGAAAGCTATCCAGAGAGCAAGGACCCTTACTATCCAATGAACGACGTGGATCCCCAGACCATGGGGCCCAAGGACATCTATCCAGATGAGGTGATCTTTTTCAAGACCACGCGACACGTGAATGATGGCCGGCTGGACTGGTTGACGCAACGCTTTGAGAGGGCATGCACCAAGCGAGCAGATCTTTGTGGGGTATCTTGGAAATCTCGTTCCGTTTTTTCTGGATTTCGGGCCAGGGTTAGAAATGCTTGAAACAACACTTGTGACGTAACTGCTGGATTGCTGTAGCTTGACTTCACCTGCATCTCGTGTTTTGCCTGGATCCGGGCCCCTGCCCCTGCCCACATCAAGCCAAAGACCCTACGATTTCGTGATAAAAAGCCCTTCGGTGAGAAAGCACACCAAGCGAAGAAAGTGCAGCAAGGTAGCTGCAGCTGAAGTGATTTGGCACTGGCCGAACGACCAGCGCAGCCTCCTGGTTGTTTTTGGGCTTTGCAGCGGCTGGTTTGCCCTCGTTCTGCTTATGGGGCGCCGATGTAGGGACAAGAAGGTATAGGGGCTATTGGCCCGCAGAACGGATTTTGCAAGGAATTTCGTGTCTCTGAAACAACAAGTGCAGATTCGAGAGGACCCCGGCTTAATGCTTGCCAGTGTGG